TGTTCTTGAGACATCTCAAAGAAAACTAAAGGTGGCAGAACGGAATAGCGAGAGAGAATAGGTCAAAGAGGGGTAAGAAGCTCAGTAAAGAAGATAGGGCAGCAGAGAGTAGGGGAAATTGTAAGAAATTAAAACCGCTGTATCTGAATGCACGAAGCATTCGGAATAAGATTGATGAATTAACGGCACAGGTAGATACAACTAGGTATGATCTAGTAGCCATTACTGAGACATGGTTACCGGGAGATCTAGGGTGGGAGTTAAATATTCCGGGGTTTTCAGCTTACAGGAAGGATAGACAATGTAGAAAACGAGGTGAGAGGGGGGGGGGNTAGCCTTGTTAATAAAGGATGGAATAAAAACAGTAGAGAGGAAGGATTTCAAATCAGATAACCAGGATGTAGAGACGATATAGGTAGAATTATGAAATAACAAGGGGCAGAAAACATTAGTGGGAGTAGTTTATAGACCCCAAACAGTGATCACAGCATAGCGCAGGGTATTAATCAAGAAATTAGAGGAGCGTGTAGCAAAGGTTACACAGCAATAGTGGGTGATTTCAATCTTCACATAGATTGGGAAAACCAAATCGGCAAAAGTAAGGTAGAGGAGGAGTTTATAGAATGTATGAGAGAGAGCCTTCTGGAGCAGTAGCTGAGGAACCAACTGGGGGACAGGCCATCCTAGACCTTGTTTTGTGTAACGAAACAGGACTAGTTCGGTAATATAGATATTAAGGCTCCTCCGTGGCAGAGTGATCATAACATGATAGAATTTAGTATTAAGTTAGAGACTGATGTAGGCAAATCCGAAGCAAGGGTCTTAAATTTAAATAAAGCTAACTTTGCAGGTATGAGGGAAGAATTAGCCAAAATAGACTGGGGAATTAGATTAATTGATATGACAATAGACCAACAATGGCAAACGTTTAAAGATGTAGTGCATAATTCTCAGCGGTCACATATTCCCTTGAGGAATAAGAGTACCACAGGGAAAGCAGTCCATCCGTGGCTAACTCGAGCAGTTAGAGAAAGTATAAAACTAAAAGAAAAGGCCTATAAAACTGCCAAAAAGAGTAGAAAACCTGAGGACTGGGAGTGTTTCAGAGACCAACAAAGGAAAACCAAAAAGCTCATTAAGAGTGAGAAAATAGATTATGAGGGCAAGCTAGCGAGGAACAGTAAGAGAGATTGTAAGAGTTATTATAATTACATTAAGAGGAATAGGCTAGCAAAAGTAAATGTGGGTCCATTACAGATAGAAACCGGAGGAATTATAATGGCGGATAAGAATATGGCAGAGTCCCTAAATAAATACTTTGCTTCTGTCTTCATGTTGGAAGACACAAGAAGTTTACCAGAAATAGAAATGAACCAAGGGGCTAATGATAGGGAAACTTACAATTGCAAAGAATTGGTGCGAGGGAATTTGTTGGCATTAAAAAGTGACAAGTCCCCTGGACCTGATGGTTTGCATCCTAGGGTTTTAAAAGAGGTCGCTCATGAGATAGTGGAGGCCTTGTGTCTGATCTTCCAAAATTCTTTGGATTCTGGAACAGTTCCCATTGATTGGAAGATCGCAAACGTCACACCACTATTTAAGAAGGGCGGGAGAGAAAAGATGGGGAACTATAGACCAGTCAGTCTGACATCTGTGGTAGGAAAAATTCTGGAATCCTTAATTAAGGATGTCGTAGTGGGATACTTAGAGGACCACAATATGATTAGATAGAGTCAACATGGCTTTACAAAAGGGAAGTCACGCTTAACAAATCTTTTAGATTTTTTTGAGGACATATCAAGTAGATTAGATAGGGGGGAGTCAGTGAATGTAGTTTATTTAGATTTCCAAAAGGCTTCGATAAGGTGCCACATAAAAGGTTGATCCACAAGATTAGGGCCCATGGAATTAAGGCGAATATATCAGCATGGATTAAAGAATGGCTAACGGGAAGAAAACAAAGAGTAGGGATAAACGGGTCCTTCTCAGATTGGTGGGATGTGACTAGTGGAGTGCCACAAGGATCAGTTCTTGGGACTCAAATATTTACAGTCTACATCAACGATCTAGATGAGGACATTGAATTGAATGAGAAAAATTGAACTTAATTTTTGCCCACAAATATACGGTCAATTCACTTTACGGTCTATTCTGTGAAGCACTTTGAGATGTCAAGAAGATGTGAAAAGTGCTATATCAAATGCAAGGATTATTATTATTATATTATTATATTATTATTAATATATCTAACTTCGCGGATGACACTAAACTAGCAGGAAAGTAAACACCGAGGATGACATTAAAAAAATGCAACGAGATATAGATAGGCCGGGGGAGTGGGCAAATAGGTGGCAGATGAAATATAATGAAGGGAAGTGTGAAGTTACCCACCTCGGTGGCAAAAACAGTAGATTATTTTTTAGAAGGGGAGAGACGAGATAGTGTTAGCGTTCAGAGGGACTTGGGTGTCCTTGTACACCAGTCACAGAAAGTTAGTTTGCAGGTACAGCAGCAATTAGGAAGCTAACGGTATGTTGGCAGTTGTTACAAAAGGGTTAGAATATAAGAGTAGGGAAGTCTTGCTGCAACAGTATAGGGCCACGGTGAGGCCGCACCTGGAATACTGTGTGCAGTTCTGGTCTCCTTAGTTAAGAAAGGATGTACTCGCCTCGGAGGGGGTACAACATAGATTCACTAGGCTGGTACCTGGGATGAGGGGGATGAGCTATGAGGATAGGTTGAGCAATTTAGGCCCATATTCTCTCGAATATAGAAGAACGAGAGGTGATCTTATAAAAACCTATAAGATTATTAAGGGGCACGACAGAATAGATAGTGGAAGACTTTTTCCCCTGGTTGGAGAAACTATAACCAGGGGTCACAGTCTTAAAATTAGGGGTAAGCCCTTTCGCACTGAGTTGAGGAACAACTTCTTCACTCAGAGGGTCGTGAATTTATGGAATTCTCTGCCCCAAAGGGCTGTAGATGCTCAGTCCTTGAACATATTCAAGACTGAGATTGATATCTTTTCTTGTGGATAAAGGGATTAAGGAATATGGGAATAAAGCGGGTAGGTGGAGTTAGAATAGATCAGTCATGATCTTATTGAATGGCGGGGCAGTTAGAGGGGCCCAATGGCCTACTCCTGCTCCTAATTCTTATGTTACTTATGTTCTTATGTTCAAAGGGCTTCACAGAATATATTGTAAAATGGATTGATTGTGCATTTTTGCGGGTGAAACGGGGCTGCCAATCGCGCACAGCAGTGTCTCACAAACAGCCGTGGATTGAGTGACCAATTTTTTTATTTTTTGGATGGATTATTACCCACAGAAAGCGATCCGCCAATCGACTAATAACCAGGTTCCTACTTACTGCTAAGTAAACCAAACGTGTGGTTTAACAACAACAACAACAAGATTCCATTTATAAAACGCTACGTCAAGGACTCCAACGTGCCAGTTTAAGGAAACTTGCCCAATGTTTCACCATCCTGTGCGCAATTGGCTGCCACGTTTCGCCCACAAAATGCACAGTCAATCCACTTTCCAGTATGTTCTGTGAAGCGCTTTGGGACATCTCAAATATCAAACAGAAGGATTATTATTACACAATTGAAACTTTCTGGTTCCCTCCTCAAAGTGTAACTCTGTACAGGATAGAGTGTGCCACGAGCAGTGATTACAGTTTTGGAGACAGTGAAGCCGGGCTCAATCAAGAAATATTTTGATGCTTTAGTGCGTGGATGTTAAGGTTCTGGCAGAATAAAAATTAAATGAGTCAAAGGGTCTTCTTCATCCAAACCAGTTTTGAGATCTTGTACAGTAAACCTCACATAAATCGTATCAGTTGGGACCATATACTTAGTATTAATTTTGCAAAGTATGAGTCATGTCAAACTTATAGATAACGAGAAATTCAATGGGATTTGGGCACGTGTACGCCTAAGGCGACCTTATCATTCATGCAGATCAGACTATTGTGAGTATTATTAACAATAATGATCTTTACATTTGATATATAGCACCTTTCACATCTGGCGCATGTCGGAAAATGCTCCAGTGACTGCGGGTTTTATAGGCAAACACTCCAACCAATTTGCGCACATCAATGTCCCACAAACAGTCATGAAGTCTATGGCCAATTTTATCTGGGAGATTGTTGGTCAGGACACTGGGAGATAGAAACTCTCTGTGGATCCCATAGTGTATGGCGCTCATTTCACAAGCAAGAGGACCCGGGTTCAGTTCCCGGACCGGATGAAATATTAAGCAAGTTTCCTTACTCTACATGTCTCTGCTGAAATAGCAGTGAGTAGGGACCAGTTGTTAGTCAATTGGTGGATTGCTTTCTGGGGTTAATTACTGACCCACCTGCCAGAGGAAATATTTTCTCCTTATTTACTCTATCCCCAAAACATTTGGTCATTCAATCCATACAATTGGCTGCCACGTTTCTTCCACAAAATATACAGTCAATTCACTTCAAGGTATATTCTGTGAAGCTGTTTGGGACATCTCAACGATGTGATAAGGTGCTATATCAAATGCAAGGATGATTATTATTAATAATAAACTCCCTTCTCCTGTTGATCTCCTGTGATATGCTGGAGACAATGTGGGTTGTGGTTGAAGTGTTTGCAGGTTAGAGGAACATAGCAACAGGAGTAGCCCACACACCCCCTCGAGCCTGTCCGCCATTCTACAAGACCATGGCTGATTTGTACCTCAACTCCAATTACCCACCTTTTCCCCATAGCCCTTGATCCCATGACCTAACAAATATATATCCACCTCAGTCTTGAAAATGTGAATGGATCCAGCCATTAATCCACAGCCTTTTTTGGTGGTGGGGGGGGGGAGAGAGTTCCAGGTTCCCACTGGCCCCTGATTTCACTCCTAAATGGTCCGGCTCTAATTCTAAGATGATGCCTTGTCCTGGATCGCGGCTGATGTGAACCTCAACTCCAATTACGCTCCCTCCCTCCCTCTCGCCCGCAGGTACAAGCTCAGCTGCAACTGGACGGAGTAGCCCACGCCCACCCCCACCTGCACCATCACCTGGCCGCCCACGCCCCCTACCTGATGTTCCCCCCGCCCCCCTTCGGCTTGCCCATCGCCTCCATCGCGGAATCGGCATCGGCGGCAGCAGCAGCAGCAGCCGCCGCCGCCGTGAAGACCAGCAGCAAGAACTCGAGCATCGCCGACCTGCGGCTCAAGGCCAGGAAACACGCCGAGGCCCTGGGGCTCTGACAATCACCATCAGCGGGTCCTCCTCACCATCCCTACCAGCCTCCAGCACAGTGTGCAGGTCCCGCCACGGGCGAGCAGTGCCAGGCATGGCAGCTCCAGAAACTCTTGTACCAATGTCAGCTGCACTACATGATGCAAATGCAAGATCCCAATAGCATGGCAGGGCTTCAGGGGCCCTTTTGAACAGCCAAACTACCAGTCACCGTCCCCTCCTCTCCTCCCTTCCTCCACCTCCAAACGACTCCCAATGGACAAGCGAGAGAAGTTGCACTCGCGTCTCGAAGGAGAACAAGTGAATGTTAAGGGCCGTGGTCCGTGGGGGAGGGATTGTGAGTGTATGTGTGAGTGTGTGTGTGTGGGGTGGGAGGGGGTTGTGGGTGGAGGGGAGTTGGGGTGGGCGGGGGAGTTAATGCATGCGACTATTTTGTCTTGAATGGTTCCTTTTCTCAACGATATTGTGGACTACGTCACTTTGCAAAGGTCCGCAGTGGGTCTTGGGAGCGAGACGGACACATTGGCACATCAGCAACAGAAGTGGACGGGACCCTTTGTGTGTGACCCTTTCGTGTGTATGCACCGAAATGCACACTCGTGTGTTCATCACGCACACACATGCAGAAATACATGATTGAGATCCATGTGATTAGGTTGGTTTGGTGGTGTGTGTGTGTGTGTGGTGGGGGTGGGTTAAGCGTTTATTTTTTACCCTGGTAGCGATCTGGAGAATCATTCAACTTGACAACTTGCCTTTCGTCGCAAGGAGAGGGGGTTTGGGAAGATGGAAAGACACTTATCCATTTTTTCAGGACTTGGTGTGCTGGTTTCAGAGACGTTCACCACGGAAAAAGAAAGGAGAAGACAGAAAGAGTGAGAAAGACAGTGAGAAAGAGAGAGAAAACGACTTGGGGCTGGTCTCCATTGCTATCTATAAGAGAAGTGAAATGAACCGAATTGTGAATTAATGTTTAACTTGCTACCATAGTGTGGTATCAAACTCCGCTCTTCCAAGCGACAAAAGACTGATCGCTGCGTAAAGAACAGCTTGCCAAATTTACGGAAACGACATCCAACCCAACTACTACACAGTGACGTCCCAGTGTTAAAACGAAGAACGAGGGAGAAAGTGGCCATTTTAGTTTCTTTGGAGGCGAATAATTGGTGAGAATTACAGAAAAGCAGCAATAATTTTTTTTCTTCCCTATGTTTTTTTTTCTCCTCTCCTCTCACGAACTCGCTCGCTTTATTCGGCGATGAAAACTACAGACGTGCTTTCGTTTCCACTGTCGCTGTTATTAGTTCGGACGGCAAAAGTCGCTTGGAACTCGTGTGATGGACGGATTGGACGGGGAAAAATATCCGGAGTCGAAACTTTGCATCCAATATTTTTTAAAGGAAAAGAAAATTGTTTACAATAATTGATGGGGGTGGTTTGGGGGGGGGGGGTGGGAGGGGTGGTGGGTGGGAAATGTAAGGAAATACGACACAAAAACAACAACAGAACGGTGAAATAACAGTGTTTTTTTTGTTATGAACACAAATCTATATGAATTAACGGGTACAGAGTAGAATAGACAGTTCTCGATGTTGGGAGTGGCTAGGTACAAGGTTCAAGCCTACGGTATTTAAGTGTTAATGATAACGGCGTGTCATTGCTTTAAAATGAAACACGCAGTTGACGTGCAGTAAAGTGCAATACTGTATATATCAGAACACACGACTTTTCGTGAGTAAACAGAGAGAAAAGGGATGGGTGAGCACCTTTGCCTTCTAGGCACAAAAGCTGGTGTGTTGCCTTACCACCGCCAAATTGTTAGACTAGTTTCTCTTGAGGGCAATTGCTCGGTGCATCAGATGATATCTTAAAGATGAAAAATAAATACACACAAGGATGTAAACCTTAAAGGATTTGTTTCCGGGGTGGCGGGAGGGGGGAGAAGTGGGGGGGGGGGTCTAAGGTGGGGGCGGGGGGGAACGTGTGGAGGAGAAATTGATAACGTGCCATAATCTCTTGGAGCTAAGCTCTGTAAAACGTGTAAACCACCACTTTCTAAGAAAAATGCCGAAATAATGGTCAAATTGTAAAGGTGAACATACTTTTATCACATGCCTATTGCTCATGTTTCTTTGGAGATGCCTGTAGACCGGATTTCTCTCTGCGTGGTTATAACCCAATGATCTTGAGTGTCTCTCTTCCCTCCCCCTCTCCCTCCACTCATTCCCCCCCGCCCACCCCCACCCCGCCCTCTACCCACCGCACTCAGTCCCCTCCTTTATTTATTTCTTGTACTTGCAAATTTTATAAATGTGATATATTTTATTATGTTGTGCGCGGAATTTGTCGCCTAGCTTTTGCATTTATTTTTGTATTTCTTTATTTTTTTCTTCTTCGAATCTTGCTTTGCAAACTTCCGGATGATAGGTTGTGGTTGATTACTTTTGCATTCTTCATCGCGTTAAAGTGGAGCAAGTTGGAGTTTACATTAAAAAAAAGTGAAAAAAACTCATTTCAGGGATGCAGAGAAAATAATAATAATAATGATGATGATGATGATGATGATTATGATAACCCACCCACCCCCCCTTCTCCCTCACTCCCCCATCATTACCTCTCCTTTGTTTCTTTGTTCGTTCGTTCGTTCGTTCGATCGTTCGTTCGTTCGTTCGTTCGTTCGTTCCCTCCCTCCCTCCCTCCCTCCCTCCCTCCCTCCCTCCCTCCCTCCCTCCCTCATCTCCCTCAATCCCTCCCCCCCTCCCCTCCCTTATCCTTCTCTTCTCTGAACAGTGAGCAACTTTGTCCACTGACGAGAGAACCGAGGAACTGGAGGCCGGAGTCTTAAACCTGAGGCTAAACCGTTTAGAAGTAAAATAAGGAAACATTTTTTCACACCGTGTGGGATTCCCTCCCCCCCAGAAGGCGGTGGAGTCAATGCAAATAGATAAATTCTTGATAGACGGGATATGGAGAGAGGTCCTTATGTCCTTTCCTGCCTTGTTAGCTCCCTTCATATCGTGTAGGGTCCTGGAGTGCTTCAGAGTGGCACAGTCTGACAACGAGCCAGGGGGGAGAGGGAGGGGGGAGGCGACCGTAAGATGATCAAAAAGGAAGGTCTTTAAGTAGGATTTGAAGATGAGGAGAGAGGGGGTAAGGCGGAAGGATTGAGGGAGAGAGTTCCAGAGTTTGGGGGAAAGTGGTGGGACAGGTTGGATGGTCCGAAAGACAAATTCCTGTTGACGTGTCCCTATGTTTCTATGTTCTTCCTTCCTTCCCTCGTCCCTCGCCCCTCCATGACTGCTCTTTCCCTCCCCTCCCCTCTCCTCTCCCCGTCCCCTCCCTCACCAGCGCACCCAGAAATAAAAACATTTGTAAGTTAAACACAGGTACTCGAGCGGTACTGAACCAGTCAATTGTATTCCTTTTTGTGATTATCTGCAAGCATGCCTACACATTCTGAGTTACAACACAGTTCTATAACTTAAGAGTCCAGAGTGTATTTTGTTGGCTCGCCAATATTATAAATGTACACCATGTACATGTGAAGTTGAAAAAAAATAAAATTAAAAATATTTGTATAATGTGGCGTAATGACCCTTCAGCCCCTTTTGTTATTGGCTCTCGCCAACCTGCGCCTAATACTCTCCTGAATTTTTTGAACTCATCGTCCAGGCTGACATTCCAACGCAGCGGTGGGGGAGCGCTGAAATGCTGGAGATGCTGTCCGTCGAGTGAGACGTTAAACCGAGGTCCCGTATGTGCCTGTTCAGATGGATGTTAAATATCCCGAGGCACTACTGGAAAAGAGAAGGGAGTTTCTTCCAGTATTCTGGCCAATAACCCCCAGATAAAATGGGTCATTCACTTCACGGCTGTTTGTGGGGACATTGCCGTGTGCAAATCGGCTGCCACATTCGCCTACAAAATACACAGTAACTACACTTGGCAGAAAACCCTGCGAAGCGCTTTGAAACACCTCTACCACGTGAAAGACGCGATATCAAATGTAAGGATTGTGGAAACTGTCATGTATTGATTAGAGCACTCGCCTCGCAAGCGAAGAGACCTGGGTTTGATTCCCAAGCGGGACAAAACATTAGGCGATTTCTTACTCCACACCCCTCTGTTTACCAGCAGTAAGTAGGAACCCGGTTGTTAGATGATTGGGGAAATCACGTTTCCGGGGATAATAATCCCTCTCAAAAAANTAATAATAATTTGGTCACTCAATCCACGACTGTTTGTGGGACGCTGCTGTGCGCAATTGACTGCCGTGTTTCGCCCACAAAATATACAGTCAACTCACTTTTCAGTATATTCCGTGAAGGGCTTTGAAACGTCTCGAAGTAATAAGGCGCTATATCAAATGCAAGGATTGTTATTATTATTAAGGATTATTTATATATTTATTAAGGATTGTTAATATTACTGTTGAGGAATATTATTATTACATTTTTAAGGATTATTTTATATTTATATACACATAGTGAGTTTTGCAAAGGATAAGGTTATAACCAGAGCTGCCTGAACCATGGACTGTTTGAGGCTTTTATATAAAAAAAAGATTCTCGTCAGCAAAAAAGAAATTCGACTCATGCGGATCGCTTGCCAACACTTAACATTCAACAGAACCTTTCAAATCGCTCCATTTATCTTATGTTAACGGGCTGTAAAATGCCATTCAATTGATATCCTTTCAAATCATTTGCTGACAAAATAAGAAAAAAAAGTATTGACTTGCAGGAAAAACACAGTTGCAGTCATTAAATAATAATAATCCTTGCATTTGATATAGGGCCTTTCATGTCGGCAGGACGTCTCAAAGGATTTGACTGTCAAGCGAAGTGACTGTGTATTTTGTAAGTGAATGCTGCAATCAATTGGCACGCTGCAATGTCTGACAAACAGCACATCAAGTGAACGGCCAATTTTATCTATGGGATTTTTGACCAGGACACCAGGGCAAACTCCCTTCTCTTGGGTAAGATGGGATCTTTAATGTCCACCTGAACAGGTGGACGGGACCTTGTGGTTTGCCTGGATCATGTGAATTCAGAACCCCGACGCGGGGCTTGAATGCACAACCTTTCGACTCGGAGGTGAGAGTGCTACTTACTGTCCTTGGTCGCCTCCTCTTCAACATCTTTATGCTCCCTCTTGGTGACATCATCCGCAGACATGGGGTCAACTTCCACATA